CGAGTAGCTGAAGGTCTTTGATCGTAAATATTTACTGGCTTAGGTCGAGTCATCATTGAGTGGTTTAAATGTTTCGGTAGAGAAAGCAATTTTGATCTACAGTTGAGTAGCATTGTTTGTCGTCTTTGATGTAGCGACGTGGTGCTGGTTTCACAGTAGAGGCTTGAGGAAGGACTAGTTCGGAACGTGCCAGATGCATATCGGTGCCCTGCATTGTGAACGGGATCTAGTTTCCTTAAACTCTGATTTTCCTCCTGATTTTCTGGCTTAGGAGTACAATGCACATCCATAATCTATTTTGGACATTACCATGGATTTATACAGGCGAAGTAAGATATCTCTATCTGCTCCCCAATTTATATGGGAAATGCATCTTATTACATTCAGTGCTGTTTTGCATCTACACAAGGTATATTCTATATGCTGTTTCCATGTTAAATGCCTATCAAAAATCAAACCAAGGAATTTTGCCGTTTCATTATATGTCAGTTGAACACCATTCAGCGCCAGCTCTGGATCTCTGTAACTTTTTCTTTTCCTACGGAAGTGAACACATTTCGTTTTGGCTGCTGTAAATGGGAAATCAATGTTTTTAGCGTTCTGTAGTAATGTATTGATGGCATTTTGCATTTTGAATTTGATCATTGTTTAGTAGGTTGTTTCTTTCGAGACATCATGTTAGCCGGGTGTTGACCATTTTTTCCAAGGTTTTTCCTAGACAACATATCAGCGATACCGGACGATAATTTTCAAGTTTTAATGGATCCTTGTCTGCCTTTAAAAGTGGAATTATTATCGCTTCTCTCCAGACTTTGGGGTAATTACTTTGTGTCCAAGTGTCATTTGTTAATTTTAACAAATTCGTGAACTATTATTGCTTCATTTCCCAGGAAACGTAATTAAATAATTTTTTTGATGAAAATAAAGATGCAACATTGAAACAAAATCATGTTTGAACCATGAGAATTCAATTTTATGTGAAATAAAATGTGGCATAGAGATATCACTTATCCATGTATATACAATAAATTCATTCCTATAATATTCATATAATTATATATTATATGAATATATATATTATATTATATTTGTAAATCTTTAATTTCACTTATAAATTGTGCAGGAGGAGCTAAAATGACCCTCCACTTTACCTGTGACACCATGCTGATAGTAATCACTTTCGGTAACATGTTCAACGCAAATATTTACAATTTTTAATGCATTTCAAGATTAACCGCCAACAGATATAAGAATGTGTTAATTTTTACTATTGGATAATTAAAGTTGTTTTCTGTCAATAATTCTAAGCTAAGATGTTAAAGTCTCTTTTTCATGACATGAGACACAAAATGACAGAAATCATCTTGTTTGTTAATGATTAGAATTGAATTTGTCTTGTAGTTTATGAAAACACAATGGTGGCAAATTGCAATAAGACAAAAGCCACAGAATAATTTTTCATGACATTTTGTTTCTTAAAATTGCTGTAATGTAAAATGTTTAAAAAGTGACTTAAAACATTTTGCTATCAGAATTATTAGAACATGTTCCAGAACATTCATTTGAAGATAAACATTACATAAATATTTCCAATATTTTTCTACATTTTTTCAAGTCTTATTTTTCAATAATTAAAATAAACTCATTTTATAAATGAGTAAACAATAATTCATTACAAATTGAGTGAAGTAATTGCATTTCTATTTATTTTAATATTTTAAATTAAATTCTTCTTGTAGTTTTGGACAATGGTTTTCCAGCTATATTACATAAAAAATACACAATTTTTATGAACATGTCTATAAATTAAGATTTGCACAAACAAAGTTATCATTGAAATTCATCATTACTGCAGGCTTGGTTCTGTTTGAGCAGTGGAGTGACACAAGAATAATATTCCAGGAGTTCCTGCATTCCCGTGACTTTCTTTATCACAGTCACAATGGTTTGTATTTTAGAGCAGTCTTTGGGAATCTTCCTTGACTCTTTTAATAAAATCCGACTTTTTCTTCGGATTCTTTTCAACGTTCTTTGTTGCCTTTGTAATATTTTCTCTGTGGATACAATGGGTTTCCAAATATAGGATCTAAAATTAGTGAAGATTTATATTAATAAAGAAATAATTGAACAAATATCAGCATTCCAATATTTAAGCATCCATATTAGACTAAATCTTCAATACTTGCAATATAATTTTTGCAATAAAATAGAATAAATGGAGTAATTAAAATATTTTGAACACTTTGTCAATTATTGAAATTAATATACGTAATTTCTATTTTAAATCCCAAATGTTGAATATTTGTACTTTTAAATTCTCAAATATGATTATATTGTTACGAATATTGCGTCACCTGCCGAATTCGCTGCGCGTGGATTGCGTCATCTGCCGGCGCCCCTTCCCTCCCCCCCCCGAACTAGACGGTTCTGGACTATCCGCGAGCCGCGGGGAAACGCCGAGAATATGCCGGGTGCCTGGAGACAAGCGCCGGGCAGGTATAAATGCGCCGCTGCCGGCGGCCGCGAGTCAGTTAGTAGAAGACGTGAGTAGAAGTCAGTGGGTAGTAAGACGTCAGTGAGTGGCAGAGAAGCAGTCAGTCCGTCAGTGTGTCTGAAGTGGAAGCTGTGCTGTGAAATGTACATTGCGGTGAAGAGTGGTGCAGCGGTTGAACAGCAGTCAGCAGTCTGAAGTCTGCAGTGGAAGCTGAGCTGTGAAGGGTGCATCGCGGTAAGCAGTGGTGCAGTGGGGAAACAGCAGTCAGCAGTTTGAAGTCTGCAGTGGAAGCTGAGCTGTGAAGTGGGCATCGCGGTAAACAAGCAGTGCAGTGGACCCTGGTGTGCGTAGTGAAGTGTGGTCTGCGCAAGGAATTGTGGTCTGCGCAAGGAATTGTGGTCTGCGCAGGGGAATTGTGGTCTGTGCAGGGAATTGGGTCAAGTGCAGTGGAACGTGGACAGTGCATCGGACTGGCTGACACTGTAGAAGAAGAGAACGGTGTAAATAAATAGTGTGTAAGAAGTGAACTGTGTAAATAAATCATCAAGAGAACGGAGTCGTGTGTAAAGAAAAATAATTACGTGTAGTATATCTGTAAATAGACCAAGTAGATTTTAGTGTATAATTGTTCACGAATAAACCTTCTTTGTTTAAATAATATTGTGTTGGTTTCAATTCACCACGGAGAAACGTTACAATATCAAGAAAGTTTGAGCCTTAGACGAAGTGACATGTTTTGGTGAGACAAAATCATTTGTTTATCTCAAGTTCCGTTGTTGTCGGCGTATTCAGGCAACCATCATTTTAAGCGGTTTGGGGTAGTCATTTGTGAAGGATTTAGCTTTTCCTTTCGTTCTTACTTCCTGTTTCCTATTACAGATATGGATTCTTGGAATATGGACGCATTGTGTAACAATTACATATTTTCCCCAAGATTTTCTTCATCTACATATTTGTTTCATGTTCTAATTAATATTTTATATTATATGCTACCGAAAAATGATTTAATGTGTTAGAGATCTCAATTCCAATAATGAGAGATTGTAGTTTGTCCGCTACAATAAATATCCTTCCTATAGAAGTAAGGTTAAATGTCACCAATTATAAGAAAATGTTCATATTGTATTAATTTTATTCCCACATAGTTTTATTACCTGTTATAATAATTAATATATAATTAATCAATTAAATATTTGCAATTAACGTTTTCAACCGTTTCTATCGTATAATATTATTTCGTGACATACAATTGGACCTCGTAATACAATTTGCCCATTTTCTGCAAATAAAACAACTACAACAAAACACAAGAAAAGTAAATAATATGTTTCACTCGCACACAACTATTTTCAAAGCGCGCGCGAAAATGCAGCAGCAGCGCTCTCTGCACTAGGAGAGTGACTGAGGAAACAAAAGTTTGTCCCCGGCTTTTTAACATTGAGTGAACCGGCCCTGGTGAGAATTTGGCCGGCATTCTGATGTTAAGTAAATGGTGAACTTTGTGGTTGTGTCGTTTTCGTATGTATGGAGTGATTATTTACAGAGAATTGTCTAAGGCTTATTTAGATGAATACGAAGTTTTTAAAAATGCCAGTTATGAAAGATTCAAATATTGTTAAAATTGCGGTGCAGATGAGTGAAAAAGTGCCACAGTTGATTGAATTTAATCAGAGACAGCCTTTGACAGCTATAATTCAGGAACTGTGTAGTGGTTGGGGAGTGTCAGATCCTGACCAGTATGCGTTACAGTTTTCTGAGACGAACGATGAAAATTATATAACGGAAAAAAATCGGAATGAAATAAAAAATGGCTCAGTTCTGAAACTTACATTTTCACCTTCCACCACTGCTCATGATATCCTTCAGAAACTAAATTCTGGGACTGTGGAAGATAAGAGTGTTGCTTTCGAAAAATTGTCTAATCTTAGCAGAGACGTGACGTTTGCTTTGGAATTTATAAATAAACAAGGACTAGCTCTCATTATAAGTTCAATTGAGGGTGGTAAATCCAAAGGAAACATGTTAGCTCATTCTCTAATTTCTTTCATGGAATTAATGGACCACGGTATTGTTTCGTGGGATATTCTCGAGCCGCATTTTATAAATAAAATTGCGAGTTACGTAAACAATCAATCAATTGCTCAAGACCCAAGGATTATTCAAATTTCATTGTCAATTTTGGAAAACATAGTGTTAAATAGTAGTTCCGGGAAGTATGCTTTAGTAGAAAAGGAAGTGACCTATCCTAATCTTGTGATGCATTTGCAAAGTTCAAATCAGGTTATTCAGCAGAATGCCATTGCACTGATTAATGCTTTACTTTTAAAAGCTGATTTTGCGAAGAGGAAATCTGTGGCAGCTACGTTGTATTCTAAACAAGTGCGAAGTGTTATTCTGTCAAATGTTATCCAGTCATCACCTGGAGGGGTAAGAATATTTATAAGAAGTTTTTTTAAATGTACAAATCTTCTATTAATTGTTTTCTAGATACTCAAATCATGGAAATTTGCGTGAATAATTTATTTCCTAAAATCATTTGTAAAATATCATAATTTGTTTGAATCAGTGACCATAATACTTCCACTTATCTATATTGTTCTATTTAAATCAATTGTGTTGTAGGTGTTTTGATTGCTCTAAACAAATAACTGTGGTGCACATTGCACAATTCACAAATGCACATTTATCATATTATAACAAATAAGTATGGATTGATATTTTTTAAAAGCATTTATAAATGGAAACTTAAACTCCTAATGTTTCCATCTTCTAATATTTTATTGTAAAACAATTTTGACACTGTATTATTCAGGATAAGTAACCAATATTGTGGATTTGATTTTTTATATAGTGGAAAAGAAGAATTTAAGGCTTGAAATAAGAAAAGTTGTAAGTGCTGTTTTCATACTTTAGAGGAAAATGGGTTTATCTATATGTTGAACCTATTGGCACGTACAACTCCTGTCATTTCTAACCATCCCGTAACACTATCAAGAAATGCATCTGGACTTTGTTTCTTATTTATAAGGATTGATTCATTCATCATTCTTCTGGTAAAAACGTAAATTTTACAGAAATGGCAGTTACAGCCTTTTTTTTTCTTTCAAGTCTTCAATTGTAAATTTGCAATAGAATACTTCTTCTATATGATGGATGCAATAAGTATTGATTGTGTGTGTATTAGGATATTGAAAAGAATGACATGAATATGAATTATGCTCATGTGAATTTAAATTATTTTTGGCCACCTATTAATTATCGTATGAACTTTATTATTGGTTTCTGGAATGATTCACTTTAGAACACATGAGAACATTAATAGTGTGTGTATTTTCTCATGCTTTTATCCATTTATTATTAAAGAAAGAGAGAAAGAGCTGTTTATCAAGGTAGGAAAGGTACAAATAAGAAATCTCGTTATCAGCTGAGTGTGTGATTAATTTTTGAATTTTTTGTGTGCTTTGTATCAATAAGTAATGTTATAATTAAATGAAGTTAGTGCAGTTTCAAACTGTGGATTTTACACAATTGAAACACTTTAATTACACTAGTTTTGAACCCATGTTCTTTTATTGACGGGCTGTTGTAAGACAATAATATCACAAAAATGTGTCAATTGCTTAAAATATGAGAAATATTTTGGATAGTTATCCAGATAAATGTTAGTTGAAATTAATTATTGTGAAGAGAATAAATGAAATAAAACATTAATAGTACAAAGTAATACATTATTAGCTTAGATGAAATGTGATAAATTGAATGTTTTAAGGCAATCCTGAAAAGGGAATGTAATTGGAAGAAGAAGCAACTTTTTAAAGTTATTTTATCTTCTTTGAGTATGTATGTCACATGTGACCTGAAGACTGGGAACACTATAACTAGTTTGAACTTATATATAACTTTAATGTTTGACAATTTTACAGTAATAAAATTGTGTTCATTCCCTCTCCCACACCCTTTCTCTGGCATGAAGTTTTGACTTGTATTCTACGTTCAGTTCTTTATTGGATGGTCTGTCTTCATTGAGAGTCTCAACATGCTCTGATAATCTTTTGTGAGCCATGTTGGTGGCCCTTTTTTTTTTTCTCTCTCCATTCTTCCACCCTTTATCTTAGTGGATGAATATTGCAGATTCTTATATTCAGGGGACTATATACTATCCTGTAAACATTTTCTAATAATTTTCCAGAAAGTGGTCATTTCATTTGCTTTGTTTTAGAATTTTTACTCTTTCTGGTTCATAAATAAGAAGGGTTTGCAATTTCTTCCTAATTTAGAATATATTGTGTCCTTGGGTGTTTGTGTTTTAAATTAGAAACTTATTTCTCATTGTAATAGCTTTTGAATATACTGATATTTCTTTATCAATTTGATATACTACAGAGTTCAAATTGCCATAGGTGGTAGGTAACTTATTCGTTGTCACATTAGGTGTGTGGTATTATGAAAATAAGTTAAAACATTATATTTGTAACTTTGTCACTTTTAACTACCTTGTAATAGAAGGCCAACTGCCCAATATGGGACCTTCAAAAACTGTCACCACATTAAACCTATTGAGAACAATGAACGTTTGTAGCCAACTGCCTCTATTTTGAAGCTTGATCATCAGGGTTGCCACCACTGCCAGTGACTTCAGTGTTTTAATATCAAAACAAATTAGTGGTGCTACAGAATTGCAAAGACTTTCCTGTATTTGTTTTCTATTTCCTTTGATCTTAGTTATTCTGACTTGCCACATATTGTTTGCCATCTGCCTTGTATCACCGCCCAAGTACATTTTTAATTTTTTTAAAAAAATTTCTGTTTTTAAATAGAATGGAAATATTATTGAAAGGATATTAAAGGACAGTAAAGCTTCGTACTTAATGGCAAAATTTTCTTTAAAAACATGGAGCAGTTTTTAAGAAAATGGCGTGTAAACACTACTGTAAATTCGAAATTTGAAGCTCTTTGATTTTTTTTTTGTTTTCGAAAAACTTGATCAAAAGTCATTTGAAGCAATTTTACTCTCAAATACAGTAGTGTTTACAAATAGCTGGAAAAGTCCATATTAACGGCATGTGACATCTTTTAAAAAAAATTACATTTGTATAATTTTCGAAAAAAGCGAGCGTTTTTGAAAAAAGGGAGCGTTTTTTAAAAAAGGCGAACGTTTGAGCGTTTCTGAAAATGTGGAATTTCGGGCTAGTTTTCAGAAACCGATTGAGTATTTGAGAAACTTTTCATGACATTATTTAAAGCACATGTACTCATCAATATAATAATGAGAACAAATCGCCTCGAATGTAAATATTAACGACGTGAGAGATACGTCAAAAATTATATTTTTGTAATTTTTGAAAAAGCGAGAGAAGAGAGCAAACTGGTATTTATGTCATCTCATAGAGTACATTTAGCACTGCCCCTACGAATAGTTTAAAGAAATAATTTGGAGCCATTTTTGAGAAAATCTAGTTTTTGTAACTTTTTAAAATTGCACAAATTGCCGCAATATAGCAAGAAAACTAAAATTTTCAAAAAATGTACAAGATCTTAATATAATAATTAATAATGGACAAAAAATTTTATTTGAAGGAGAAATCTATATCTTGAATTTTGTAGTTGTAAGGATTTGTAGGAAAATACCGAAAAAAATCATACTTTTGAAATTTCCGAAAATTTACAGTTAACCGTGAAAATCGGATTTATGCCACTTTTATAAGTGTATGTTACTGTATTCTTACAAGAAACTTAAAGAATGTGGAGCCGTTTTTGAGAAAATTTTGGAAATGTCCGAAGGGCTTTATGTAAAGTACCCCCAAATTTTAAAGAATGTTTTTCAAAATATCATAGCTTCGATTCGAGTCAGATGAACAGGGGTTTCTCAATTTGGAAAATATCCTACGCATGGTTTAGTCACTAGTAGTGTTCACAGTTACATTTGTGTAATTAAAAAATTAACTTTACGTCATATTAAAGAGTGCAGTTAGCACCATTCGTTCGAAAAGTTAGAAGGAAAGCTTCGGAGCCGATTTTGAGAAAATAGCATTTGAGCGTTTCTGAGAATGCTGAATTTTGAACTAGTTTTCGCACGAAGCGGTTGAGTTTTCGAGAAACTGTATTTAAAGCATATGTACTCATAAATAACATGTAATGTGAACAAATTGCCGCTAATATAAATATTGAGGATGTGAGAGAAGTAAAAAAAATAATTTTGTAATTAAAAAAAAGAGAATAGAGCAATATGGGTTTTGTCATTTTATAGAGTACATTTCGCACTATCCCTATCAAAAGTTTAAAGGAAAAAATAGAGCCGTTTTTGAGAATATCTAGTTTTTGTAATTTTTAATTTAATTTTTGTTGAAGACGCCCGGAAAATTTTAAAAGTTCAGGGTGAAACCTGAAAATCGGTTCAATCCACCTTTATATCTGTATTTTACTCAATTATTACAATAAATTTAAAGAACAAAAGTGTGGAGCTGTTTTTGAGAAAATTTTGCAAATATCCGATGGGCTTCATGTAAAGTACCCCCAAATTTTAAAGAATGTTTTTCAAAATCTCGTAGCTTCGACTCGTGCCAGATGGACAGGGGTTTCATCAATTTGAAAAAAAATCCTACGTATGGGTTAGTCACTAGTGGTTTTCTCAGACGTTTTGAAAAAACACTTTTTCGGTATCAGGGGAGCCCAAAACGTGCATTTCTGTTGAAATCTCGAAATTTTTCCGAAGCATTACATGACTTTCTGTATACTACGTATAATACTCCGTACATACGTACGTATACCGAAGAGTAAAAATTACATTTGATTTCGATATAATTTGGAAACATGATCTTTAAGGTGGGTTGTTGAACAATTCTTCCAGAACAAGTTGTATACAGACTGTGAACCATTATGTGTCTGATTATTGTATTGTTTGGACCGGGAGAGATGGCTCAGGGTATCAACTGATGTCACTACAGTCCCTCTGATTGGGATGTTCAAGGTTCGAGTCCCGACGGTGGCAGGATTTTCAACCTGATTGTTCCTGTAGTGTTAAAAACCCGTTTCTGTAGTGTTTGAACAACAGCCCTGAAGATATGTCGGTCGAAACATTGGCACTTCAGCCTGCGACGCGGCGTCACTCAAACTTACTGGCGTGATTGGATCGTGACTGGCTGCAGAAGCCTACATCAAATAGTTTTTTCATTTTTAAATTCTTTGCTTTCTCTGAAGTATAGCACAAAAAGATGCAGACTAGCCAAGACATTAATTCTCAGCGGTCACTGAATTACATCTTCAAGTAAGAAAGAATAATTTACTAAAAAATTACATTGGACAGTGAAAATCCCAGCGTTAAATTTTATTTTTGTTTCATGAAGAGAGAAGACGGTAAAGGATGAATGAAGACAGCAGAAGAAACACAAGCCAAACTTACTCGACGAGTTTCTTTGTTACTCATGTCA